TAATATATATATTATAAAAAAAGGATATTACAGTTGTAAATTACTGGGCATTGCTTAGAGTGTAGATAACGATAATTTTTTCGTTAATGAGCACTGCCAGGATCGACATTCAGGAGGTTCTAGCGCCGCCACGAACATGACTCGATTATTCAATTTAACAAGCAGAATTAAAATATGATACAATATATTCTCTATTTTGTATGCAGAAAAAGAGCTTTCTAAGTACGTCTTTTAAACATGATGGATTATTTAGTTCTATATTTGAGAGTTCTGTTTTTCTATATATATATATATATATATTACAGGCCGCAGACTGATCGTTTAAAACAAACGTATTGATAACTGTCTGCAAAATAAAAGCTGAAAACTTCCATACAGGGTCGTGTCACTCGACATGAAACAAGGACGTACCAGAGCAAGCTTAAAGTTGCAGATCTTCTTCTGCGAATTCCTGCCCTGTGCCCACAGCATTATCCAGGATGGCAACGAGAAAAACAATGTGGCACCAAATGCTATCTGGACCAAGCGCTCTGACTTGAACAACTTCTTATATTTTACCAAAACAGAGGTAACATACCAGAAGTTTGCCACCTTATCCTAAAAAGAGAACGGAATCAAAGCTAGGTGTTAGAAAGGTCCCAAGATATCAGACCTACAGGCCAGCGCTAGGCATACTACTATTAAGTAACACTAGAATAATAATCATAATGTTAATAATAAACAATCTAATATGGATGAAAGGCGTTTTAATAATGTAAAAATAAAACTGTTGATATTAATAATAATTAATAACACCAATAAAGATTACAGAAAACGCATTTTCTTTGACTAATTCCAGTAAATCTATTGATTCGAATACGGTTGTGAAATTTTATGAAGACCGCTTAAATAGCGGCACAAATACTGCGAGCAAAAAATGCTTGCCTGAATTGTATCATTCGCTGTACAATCAACTTCCACTCAATTCATGATGGTGGGATGCGAAAATGAATCAACTGACTAAAGGGCTAAAAATGTCTTACCTCAAACAATCCTCTTTGAAGGGGAAAGATCCGGTAAAGAATTTGTTCAATTAACTGTTGACCACCAGACCACGCGAATGGTACCCAAACAATTCCGAACGTTCCAAGCGTTGCAATAGCGATATGCAAGAATCGACTCAGATTCAGGGAGGGCACAATACAGGCCTGCAAAGGTTTATGTTCACCACAATTTGCGTGATGATGAATTAAGTCAAAGGAAAACAGGGCCACAACAATATAGTCAGTTAGATATCGCGATTTCATATATAATAAATATGTTTTTTGCATTACAGGAAATATACCTTAAGTAGATGGATGAAGACTGGCATAGCAAAATAGAGCGCTATTTGCTTGAAGTTTAGAGAGAGACTGAAGGCGATCGCTGCAAGAGCGTAACGCCCTCTCTTTGCTAAAGCCACGGTCAGCACGAATAGGCCTAAGCAGACACCGTTGTACCTGTGAAACGACAATCAACGTACGAATGGCCTTGGGTCACATTTGAGTACCCTATCTAATTTCATAACTTGGCCCTGACATTCCCGCTCAAGTCATAATTGGCATTTGTAAGTCAAGCCTCAGTTGGAAAGTTATCTGTGAAAAGAAGCCCTCCCTGATGAAGATGTTTTACGAATGCTCCAGATTCATTGACAGTAGGATGTAAGCTAAAAGAAACTCACAATATCTATTTCATAATCTGTGTAATCCACTTACTGAAAATGTCCATGGTCAACAAGGATCATAGCAGGGTTGATCAGTAGGGCCCAAATAGCTGTTGCCTATAAAATGGGTTATAGACCAAAAGAAGAAAATCATTTAGAGAAAGCGACAATCTTTGCAAATGGACTATATTATTGATAATAATAATAATAATAATAATAATAATAATAATAATAATAATAATAATAATAATAATAATAATAATAATAACATAACTTTTACTGCTTGATAAGTCTTTTTATTCCCTTTGCGTGGGTCTTAGAAAAGTGCCCATATGATGAGAGCGGCAGATGACAAAGCGAAGTGCTCAAAAAGCTACTCAATTCCATAGCAGATTAACAGTGGACATATCCTATGTGAACTCGAACTTGCCCCGTTCGTTATTACCGTTTTTTCTAAATGAAGGTTTTTCAGTATCTCTGTATGACACTCTGAGCAGCGGATAAAGGGCGGTTACTGGGCGCCAACTACCTGATATAGGGTTGCAAGACCCTTGTCTGGTAGCGACCTACCTCATAGAACCTAAGTGAATTCTATAATGCTCTCTAGGTAAACGCGAACTTAATACCATCTTTGACTTCGTGTTGTAGAGGGATCCAAAATACAGAACAGAAGGGTAGAAGACAACGAAATCAGAAGCCAGAACAGACCATCGCATAAACAGTTTGTGCTCAGGGCTTTCATGGCCTCGCGACGAATTTAGCGCTGTCCATGACAAGTTAAATTGCTCCGATCTGGATAGATGAATCAAACACAAAGAAAAGAAACTAATTAAAAGCACCCAACCAAAGTTCTTGTTTGTATTATCATATTTGGCTGTTTGTAGAATAAGTTACTTCGGAAAAACGTATAGACCTTATCTTGAGTTAATTCCGAACTTGCGGCACTAATAATACGTGGCGAAATGCATGTCGCCGAAAAAGTCAAAAAAATATTATCTTCATGATACAATTGCATCACGGTTTCCTAGACAGATTGAGCAAGCTAGAAAAAAACGTTTATCAAATACAATTTTGCTTACATTTTTCCACAAAGCCAGCTATGGTACGCTGTCAATGGAGGATAGTCGAGTCCCCAATACATCAAATCGTTCCGGGTCGAATTCACGTACCATTCCTTAAGCGGCAGCTGAGTAGTCACCTGGAGCGTGTAAAAAAAACACAGAAATTAGAATGGAAATTACGGATCCTTTAATATCATCTCCTGTCTTGTATAAGCGCAATAAGGGTGTCTTATGATTTATTGCTGAGTCCCACTTGGTTGGCATTTTTGTTACATACCTAATTATGCATGAATTTCCAATTATAAATCAACAGGATTTCTTATCAAGGAAGGGTACGATTTTGTGATACATAGATACTGCACAATTTGTGAGCAAAATCTTATATCTTTTATCCCAGTTGTATCTATCTAGATACAGTTAGTGAAACTCCGAAGTGTCTCTAATCAACAAAGCTATAAATATATTGAGTGCCTTCACACATGATACAGTAGAAGCGGACTAACGGAACCAATTATGTAACTGATTTGTCAAGTCTATACAATAAGATATAAATATTTAAGCCTCCAAGAGCACGTGTATGCTTATTCACTGTTTTCTAGTCACGAAGGAGTCCGTCTCATAACGCTTCGTTGGAACCTACTTTATAACCCATAATGTGTCGTGATCTATGCCCGAATCATCTGATGTATTTCTCTTCAAGCCTACGAAGTTCGGCTTTGCAATACCTCCTAAATATATTTTTGTGAGCGTACTTAATGCGGGGATTGTCTCAATGTTGAATCGTTATAAAATACATGATTTAGTATGGCGATAAAGTTCACTTGCTATTTACCTCCATCCAGTGCCGTTGCGCCTCGAAATCCCCGTACATTGGTGGCTTTCCCATACCCGAGTACGGAAACAGTGATGTTAACAGCCGCAGAAGAATACTCCACATAACCGCAGCCGATAACAATACGTCCAGCTCCATCATAGGTATGGGCTGAATACAAATATATCTGCAGAAACGTCCGTTCGTCGATTTCCCCGGATAGTTGAATCTCTCTGCAGCCGGTAGCAGCTCACACCGCTTATAGCAAAGAACGAGAAGACAAAAATGAAAATTATTGATTTGTCAGATTTTAGTGCAGATAGGTCTTGAAATTCTCAATGCAGCTATTTTGAATTTATTAAAACATTATGTGAATAGAATAAAATCGTTAAGACAGGTACCAAATAGCTCAAAGCCGCATATCCTAACTCGATAGTGGCAAACAATACTAGCGTGTTGGTGATTCGTTGTCCAGTACTCAAAGCAAGCTGTCCTGCAATAGAGTCCCACCCACTTGGAGCATTCATACAACTGCTCGTGTGAACAGTTGATCTGGTTTTTCTCGTATATCCTTATACGTATAGATCCACGTAGATCTCGTGCTTTCGTATATCCTTGTCCCATGCGAAAAAGTAGTTTTTGATGATAGACGGTTCTTCTTCCTTCTCGATCAACATATAATCGAAAAGTGCCATATGGAATCAAACATAAGAACTATATCATATCTCGTCTTTCTTATACATTCAACCCCTTATCTAATCATAATTGCTGACAAAATTACAATTGATCGTTTTCCCATTGTGAGTGAAGATAGCCGTCGTTGGCTTAGAAGATTAGGACTCGTGGGATGTGACTTGCAGTGCGATCATCGAATCTTTATACATGTTAGCATGCAGGAGACGCATTTTTACTATAAACCCTTTAAATTTAAAATGTCTTTGAAAAGAAGAATGATTTCATCAAACATCATTATTTTTTTCTTTTATTAAACTAGAAATCTTTTATTCGGAAGATACGCGCAACCTCAAATACTTTTCTATGTTTTACATTCAGTTTTACGCGTTCGCTATGATACACGTTTAAAAACAACGAAATAATTAGAAACGTCTCAATGAAAAGTGCTTAAATAAAATAAAAAAAAATACAGGCAAGTCATTTTTGTTTTTTGTGAGTTTTTTTCTACGCAGCTTACATCTGACAGCTATCAAGAGGTCCCATTATTTGCTATTATTAAAGCAAAGAAATTTATCGCTTTTATAACTATTTTCGGTTCATTTTTCAGCTTCACGATTGTGCTTGCCATATTTTTGCTGCTCTCCATCCTAGTTTCATTTGTTAGGTCGACTCACAAACGCTCGTTGGCAACTGCAGCTACTGCAAAGGCTACCCAGGCCAACTCAACATAATGTGCTTTTCATTGAAAAGATGTGTTCGCTGATAGGGGTACCCGACCAAAGTTGTATAACTATTGCGTAGATGCCAACCCCCGACTTTTATACGAAATACCGCTCGTTATATTAGCTCGTTATTTTTCTTATTATTCAGTAAACGCTTATGACGATTTGCTGTCGTTGTCATAGAAAAATTACTAGTTATAATATTTTCTTTCTGTAGTTGATGGATAGAAACGATGTATTAGCAACTTTATAGAATACAGAGTCACACGATTCGTGCACGAACCAAGTCTCACGACACCTTCGTTGAAACAAATCGCGCTCAGATGCTACGTCCGGCACCGTTGCAGCAGTCGACCGACGGTTCCTGGTTCAAAACCTCTCTCGTACCCACACGACAAGCCAAACCTAACATCGTTAACAGTTACTATTCTCCATGATTTCTACAGCATGTACGAACGCATTATGAATGCGCAAGCACCTTTGTACTTACACGAGTATATATCGCAGCAATTTAACATTAAAAGAAAATCACTTATTCCAAGGCGCCGTCGCAGGCCCACTCACTTCTCAACAGTTCTTTGAACAAATTTTTACAGATCGTACGTTTCCTTTCATTTATTGTCTCTATAGATATTCGTTTGAAACTCGGCTCTATGTAGGAGAAGTATTATAATTCATTTAGGATACAAATAGGACGGTAAAATTGATTGAAGCCATAAACACATAGCATCTCATCTCCGTAACAGAATTTCAAATAGGGCAGTAGTTCTCTATCGGACTTCCTGCCATGTGTGCTTTCTGTCAGCTCAGTTTCCGATGCCGGTTAATCGCCCCGCTCTCGAGAAGATGCTGCCTGACTGGATGAATGAATTTTGTTGCGATCCACAGAAACAGAATGGCAATGTGCGGTAAGTTTAGTAGACCGGTTATGGGCTTAGTGCAGATTTTCGCTGAGCTGCGAAGGGTTAGTGTACACTGGTGTGGTTCTAATGTGCTTCATGCGTATGAGCTACATAATGTGTGTGGGTTTCCAGTATAACGTAGGTTGAATTACGCACGTATATCTATTCTTTTTCGGCATTATCAGCTGTTGTTTATTGAGCCGCGTCGACCGGTGGGCTATTAATATCGAAGTTAGCATAGGTACGTACCGAGAATTAAACGCGCGTTAGATCACCGGCAACACTGAATTTTCATTGGTAGAAAAACAAAAATAGGGACGCACGTTTCTTCGATACGATTACTCCCGATGTAGGCCTCAGAGGAAAAAAATAATAGCAGAGGTTACATTTCAACATAAAATTGTAAACTATATACCTTATATTATATTAAAGTGATTAAAGGGGCATTTAAGCATAAACAAGATGAATTCCTTAAAAAACACACTACAGAGGGGTGAGACCAACTACACTTATTAACCTAAACCTTTCTGCGTTTGTTTACTCGGTATGTACGGGCCAAAATTCAAGGCGGTTGCCTGTGTTGTCCCTTTGTAGTTTTCCCTGTTACACTAATTCAATAAATTCATCGCATTGTTACTTAGTAACTCTGTTACTTTCCTGCGTAATTCCTTTTTAAAAAATAGGCATTTTACAATACTGTAATTGTTATGTAGAGCCCTCTTTTTCTGGAAAACATCTTACGAGTTCGTAACCCTTGATAAAATAAGCCTTGAAAAAGTTTGCTCTTCTCGTGCATATATGTTAGTGTTTATGAAAAACTATCGATTTATCGATCTAGTGTGAAAAAACCGTTTCTCCCGGAGACCTCGTAGCCACCATCGTGTTCTTTCGTTCAATAATTCAAAGCTATTTTTGTAAAAAAAAAAATATTTTCGAGACGGAATTGCCATTCGTACATACATCTAGCACATCTATTAGGATCGGTCCCTGAAATGTTGTCCCATATTTATTTTGAGTAGTATGGTAGATGAGAATTTCTAGATATTGAAATGTTCCTCTCTTAATTTCGAAAAAGGCGAACTAATCCTAAACAATACCAATTTCGTGTTATTTCAATGACCCGAATCGCTACAAGCGAATCGATAACTTCGTTGCACTTGTCGGATACTTTGAACGCATCCGTCAAGCAAATTGCATACTATTACATATTTTGACGAAATAAATCCAAATTGATCTCGGTAGGTGTTAATGTAGGCGCCCGTGTCTAATCATGACTTCTAGTAAATCTTAACCGAAACACCCGTGGTTGGTTTTCCAATTTGTCGCGCATTCGTTCACACAGTGCAGAGTAATTTGTACTTGAATGTGTCTGCGTAAGTCTATAGCTCATTCAGTACTATGACGTAACTGTAAAGCGTTATGGACAAACCATTTACTCTATAATTGTTAACCTTATCTTCAATTTTTACTTTTGTCGTTTTCGACAATTTTAATAATTTCCACGAATGCTTAATTTTGTGGATTTTGAAAATTTACAAAAAACAAAAAGATAGACCAACATTCCTTAATGGCTAAGGCGTGTGAAGTTTCTGTTGTGTAATTCCAAGGGTCGCTGTTCACTTTACAAAAGATTCCTTTTCAATGCTAATACTAGCTTTGATAAAATGGGAAGCGAACACCTCGGGGTCGTCTCTAGAACTAGCGTAACACTCGTTTTACTGGAATTATCTTCAAATTATAGTCAAAGATATTAAAACTATGTCTAATCTATGGCTGTATCCCTCGCAGCAACAATTGTTATTATGCTACACAATGGAGTCGTCATGCACTTGGTGTTTGAGATAGAAATTATTGCAGGTCTTCTGCGGCTAAATTATTTGTGTGAGTATTACATCTGCCATGCCCGTTTCACCCTACATATGGCCCGAAATATTCCGTTAGATTCTATATGTAGCTTCCGCTAAAAAACAACGCGACAATGATGTGGTTTTATGTAACATCTCGTAAGAAAAAGACTAACGAAGCCTTCTAAATTCATTTATTCAATTTAAAACTTCGATTCTGTCCAGTCTTTTCCCGCCGTAAACCATACAACAGGTCGTAGCAGACGACGCGACAATCACTTCCTCTTAAAAATCAGCAACGAAGGGGCACTGTCCTGGATACACCAGCAGTACGTCCTCCAATAGAGGCACCAATGACAATTGGCAGCAGTACCAGTAACAACAAACCGATTACCGCGGACGTTACCAGTTTCTCTCTTTCTCGTCGGCAGCTATTGCTGGGCCTCCCAGGCCTTCTCTCCACAAGTTGCCGATTACCCTCTCCCGGTTGGCGGGAGGCTGGCTCCTACTGATGCGCCTGTTGTAGCAGCGCGGCGGCAAGCGCCTCTACGCGGGCTGGTTCATGTCGCTTTCAAATTCGACGGGTGAAGTTGTGCGATTTGGAGTGGCTTTCGCGAAAAGAAGAGGTACGGGGGTGCGCCTGAATCTGTGTGAGTGAAATTGGTGACTGGGCCAAGTTGTTTAAGTAGACTTTTGTTCATGGGAGCAAGAGTTACGGCTTTTCGTTGACACTCCGGTGTCTGCTAAAGACAGATGCGACCCAATTGAAGTTACCAGATGTTGCCTGAAGCTGGCGGCAGTAAATTGAGGCGAAGCACGCTGAATGAAACATATCATTTTGTTCGTTTTGTATCGGCTGGGTTCAACGAGTACGAAGCAACGAAAAGGAAGAATTAGTTAGAAAAATTGAGTGAAGACCGACTAGGCAATGTAAAACAAACCATCTCATAGCACAAGACGTCAATAAGCAAAAATGAAGCGGATTTAGCCAGATAAATCACAGACTGCGTTTCATCGCTGATTCGTTAGTTAGTTGCCTGGTCCACGCGATATGTTACATACGCGACGCCAAGCCAATAAGGAAAAGTGAAGTTCACAGACAAAAAGTAGAAAATGACACCGACAGCGGATAGGGTCAGCTTCAGCTAATTGTGAAGACCACAACGGATGGGCATTTCTGCCCAGATCTTTACTTCTACGAGCAGCTCTCCTGTTTCAGTTATTAACCGTTATAAATTCATGCTCGCAAGGACACACTCACGTCGAATCGTAATTGAAATCGTTTGTAATTTGAAGAATTGAGCGAAGGCTGTTGACGAAGCCAAAAGAGTTTCCTTGCAATCCAGTGATCAGCGCCAAGATTCTTCCAGTAAACCTCACTACTGAAGACAATGACAGGGTTGTGGGTTATCGAGTGGACTAACCTGAAGTGGTGAGAGATTATATGTTTAGATAATATATCATAATTATATCGGAATATAGATGTCCCAGTGGTAGTTTCTTTGTTGAAAGACAAAGCCAGTGCTGTGAACCCTATGCTAGTTGTGGATACGAAAGCAAAAGTGATCTGTTCTATTCCGTAGATTGTGTTGACATAACATAGGATAACAACAAAGAATTGAGACGAAGATTACGTGAGTGAGTTTGGCAGATGTCGTGTTGCGCACCCCTATGTGACGAAGAAAAACTAACCAGTAACCGTGTACCCCCAGCAACGTTGAATGCCATGAACGAACACGAACCCAATGGATAACTTAACCTGTTCTTCGAAGGAGTACGATGACTTGACGTAGCGGTTTGGTTTTGTGCTACTTGCAAGGGAACAGAGCAGATATATCGGTTCCGAACGAGGCCTTTAACGAGAAAAAGTTACTTCTGCATAGAAGGAAATCTTAAATTTACGGTAGCAGTGGATAGTCAGCGTGTAACTAACTCACAAATAAGTAACAGGTGATACGCAATGCAACGCGGACATTGATCAATTAGTTGCTTTATAATTCATCCATACTTGTTAACGGTTAGTGTTTAGAAGGTAAAAACCTCGTATGGAGATCGTATATGAGTTTAGCGCTTGTTTATCCACGCACCAGTAATCTAGAAGAATGATATTTTGATAGTCAGTCTACCGGCAAAACGCAATCAGGTAGCCGCATAACGACTTACTGGAGGCGATTCCGTCGAAGCTCAGTCATCACTTATTGTGACAGATATCTGTTAAGAAGATCATAAAGTGCAGCAATGGGGCATGCACTGCCGCTTACAATAGTGGCTGCATTGCTTGTCTCGACGTTCCTAACCGGCCTCGCGGATACGGTAAATACACTGACGACGTGTAACTGGCCCTCATTAATCGAACGGATCCCTCACCTCGGTAACTTTACTTCCATATTTAATGGGGAGCAAATCAGATTGCGATGTCAAAATGACTATAAACCCACTGAGCAGGCGCAATATGCGAAGTGTATTGACGGTGAGTGGAATTGGCCGCCTAATTTTCGTTGCATCCCCAACAATTTTTGTAGACTGTTAGTCGAGCCCAGCGCGGGCTCCCATAAGGTGCTCCCCGGGTCACACGAGAAACGCTCAAAGTTAGGTCAGGATATTTTTGCCGACAACGAAGGTTTAATAGTGAAATGTCGAGCGGACAATCAAACGCATTCCTTCGCCTGTAGAAACGGTCAATGGGAGCCGGAGATGAGCTCAACTCCATGTAAGCCATCGATATGTAAGCAAGCAGCGGAGATCGAGAACGGGTCGTTCCGTCGGCTGTCACCCGAGTACATCGAGCCGTATTGCAACGAAGGCTACGAGCTCAAAGGCAGCAAGACGGTTTTTTGTGTCAACAACAAATGGACGGTCCGAAAATCGGAGGTATGGCCACACTGCGAGCGTAGTGAAGTTCTTCGAACACCGAGCAGTCAATGGAAGCAGTACCAGTGGATAGGATATGTCGTCGGCGGCCTTATTTTGCTGGTAGGGCTCATTGTTCTACTGATTTGGTGCCATCTGCGGCGCGACTCGCCTAAACGTAATCGTCTCATGCATCAGACGTCGCATGTTGACGAGCTTCTGCATCTGCGACGCACGAAGCCGATCGTGATTCCGGAGCCGGTAGCCCATACTCAGGTCCACTACACTCACGACCGCAAGCCTATTCCCGTAACGTCACTATAGTAATGTGACCTTATTTCTATCTGTGTGTGAAAATAAGTGACGTTGGGTCGTTTGCGTACAAAGAAACCACCGCGATTTTGCTGCTGCTGCTGCTGCTGCTGTTGTCGCCTGAAACACCTTATTTTATAATAACAAAAAATGGCGCTTTACGGACGATACGAACACCAGCAAACTGCCCGATAACAAGTGGTGGATAAAATTCACAAGAATCATCGCTGGATCAGTTCTGGTCCGGCAGGCAGCAGCAAAAGGGCAAGAAGGCAGTGGAAGATCGTGATTAGGCAGAAATGAAAAAACCGTACCTTCGCTATGGTTGTGTCCATAACATGTTGATTTGTCTGTAAATGTCTGCATATAGAGACGACCTATGTGGCCGCAGCAGTTGTTAAGAGAGCTACCACAGTAACAACAAAGAATCACACTCCACTGAAGAGCTGACAGCTGATGTAAAACATCTGCTGCACAACTATGGTACCGAACGGCAGTTCGTTAACAGTACTGGCTTCGGCAATAAGGATACGAGATACGGATAGAAAACGGAACACAAAACAGCAGAGGCTATTAAGGGAAGACGAAACATAAAGGGATATAAAACGCTACAAATATGATTACTGCGATAAACATTACTAACAAGTCGGTCAGCTTTTCTTCAAAATATGGTAAGTATGATGTTTCTATATCTATTCATTCAACTAACGAGTGTTTAAATTTAGTTGAGGGTCATCAATTAGAGCTTATTTAATGTAAATAAAATAGATATTTATTTGCTCTAATCCTACAAGTTGCAGGTAACATGCTAGTACTAACTATCAGATATAGAGAAAACGATATTACGAGTCCAAGTAGGCTTCATGTCGGCACGTATCGGCCGTCCAAACTATCGACAGAAATGAGTTAAGTCAAGGTAGACAGATATTACCACAGTGTCTTGTACGAATCTAATGCGAAAAACTACTGTTGCTAGAAAAGCAAAGTTGCGATTACTTATTTTGACAACAACAAGCAACATTGTTGTTAGTAAACTGCTGTTAAGTTCCAGTTTCAATCAAATGACTTTTCTAATAAGTTGGAGAAGTTCAGTGTGTTCTAGATTCGCTAAGCTGCTAATCGATTTTACGCTGTTTCTGACGTCGAAAACGCGTTACAATATGTTGTATTATATATTATAGGCACGTACCGTTGCCTTTTTTATGCCTAGCTAGCAATAGAGCCCTTTTGCTTTCAATATATATATATATATATGTGTATATATATATGTGTGTATATATATATACACATATATATATATACACATATATATATATATTTTAGCCAAAGCGAGTTGCTCGCCGAAGACTATGAAAAATTACAGTTCGTTGGGCTAGTAAAACTTGCAACGGTGGGTATATCGGCGAAGCCCATTGAAAATGCGCCCCACTCGCTATCTCCTGGGTTAATCTGACTTCGTTTTTGTTGCGTTCGTATGATAAGAACGCATCTAGTTTTAGCACTTTTCAAGCGAACACAAAATAGATCACATAGGGAGTTTCGCTGGTGCGCGTCATGCACATACAAACAAAGTACCTTAAGGATATAATATTATAAAGCGGCTTTTGACTCGTTTGCTGTTGTTCGGGCCAGCGGCGATCGCATGACCAACAATCGTTCGGCTGAGCTGAATATTCTGGTAATGATAATACAACCACGCAGTTGGTGGGCCGGAATAAACGAAATTGATTCGCGCCATTGCGGCTAATGCTTGTCTGTAGCATGTAGAATTTAGGAAGGCCTTTGGCCATGAACTATAGGCGCATTTATAGATCTCGAAGTTGAGGAGACACGCATGCAGCTCGAGTCCAATGGGTAGATATGTCGTTTGGCGTTCGTTGCACGTTACACTGACAACGATTTGTTTTGAACAGGGAATGATGCGGTGCTACGCTCGCTCGGTTCGTGCACGAGAGTCAACGCGTGCATGCCGACTCAAACGTAGCTCACTGTCTACTACATGCACGATCGATCAATACAGTTATCATCATCCTGCAGCAATAGTTATATATCGGCTACGCGCGTCCCTCTTTCACAGTTACATTGACAATTATAAATATATGAGATAATTATAATATGAGATAACAATAGTGAATACCGAATATATACGATGTCGGGGGCAAAGTGTTACGTCCATTATACTCATTGAATGTTATTAGATCAAGCGTGAACCTGCGATGCTTCCACTCAGTCAAGGAGCCTTCGGGGGGCAAAACTTAGAGACAACGACGATGACAATGATAGTCAGAACGCTACCATATCATTGGCCACGAGCGAGATGTGAGGTAATAGAATACGAACGTAAAGGCAACGAGTAGAGAGGTCAATAGTATTACAGCTGTTTGTTGCCGTTTTGTTCAGTCAGCTTTTGTTCATGTTGATTGCCTGTCTTTGGTAAGTCTTTGTTATTGGTAAAGCATTTGACAACAATGTTCTACTTCGCGCCGCCGCCGCCGCCTCCATCAGCTAGCGTCTTACTGTTTTTTTTTTGTTAGTTCGCTATCTTACAACATCCTACGCTGGCTCCCTTTGCTGCTTGTTGTCGGCGAAACTGATCGTGATGATATCAATAACAATATACGAATAGTAATAAATATAGGCACCAAGTGACTGTCGCCATCCGACCAGTGTGGCAATGATAGCAGCAAACGAGCACGACACGTGTCCGCTTTTACCTATAAACGCCTAGGTACAATAATCTATTTGTAGATTTCCCGCACATCATCCGCGTTTTAGTTCTGAGGCCGAACTTGTTTATTGTGGTTCCGTGTTACTTGCTCACTATTGTTGTCGTTGTTGTTCCATTACAATGTTTCGGCTGCAGGTGCTTCGCCATCCTCTGTTAGTGAAGCACTGGAGTCTTCGAATCATTCCGCTTCGCTAGAACCCTATCCATTTACTGTTCAATTATTATTAACGGAGCGATCACATCGCTTCTGTTATTTCGTTGTTTCGCGCTGATACTCCATTATGGTTAACTAGATTCTATTGCCTTGCAACAAGTGTCAATTATCACGTGCTTCCATTCCAATTAATTTGTTACTATCGTACCATTGATCGTTTCAGGCCGTGCAAGGGTATTGCTTTCAAGGTCGAAATTGACCTTGCCTGCCAAGGTTCCATCGAAATATCGGTCCGCCCCAGAAGGCAAAAGTAGGCAATAGGAGAACCTATATTTTTCAAAAGTTGTTAACCGTCTTTCAAGAACACGTTATATTCGGTTCAATGGGGACAAACAAAATGAACGTTTTCTAATCTTATTTGTGTCGAGCGTGCGGAGCTTCAAAACGTAAGGCTGATTCTTTTAGATATCTTATTACGCCATAGCGTTAAACCACGCCTACCGGGAACTGCAAAAATTGCTAGAGCCATTTGCAAGGTATAATGTGCAGGCCGATTATTGCTATCAAAAGAGCTATCTCCTACATGCAGTGACCCCCATGTTGACTGGTCTTGTCGTGACTACACGATTTACTAAGCAACAGCAGTTACTTATCAAGATTAAAGCAGTCAACGGGAACCAAGGCTTTGGGAATCAAAGCATGCGGAAACGAAGAACTATCACACTCAAGATGTTCGTTGCGAAAGAACTACACTGCCAAAGAAACAAGGATTTCGATAGATATAGCACTGATATCGCGGATATCATGTAGTCGCATATATATATATAGACCTTGTAACTATATTGTGTCAGCTTGAGATAGTTGTAATCAATTTGCATGTGTATATTCGCCTTAAAGGATCAGGTTTTGGGGCTATTATCAGTGTTTTTTCCTTGCGGCCTCGCTAAAGATCATCCTGCAATGGAGAACGATTAGCTGATATAACTCTACATTTGAATCGTTCGGAGCAACTCATGCGGTAATTCTCTTTTGTTGCAAAAGGCAAATCGATAAACGGTAATCAATGCGATAATTGTCCATCGATGCGGAGCGGCCGATTATGTTCTTAGAAAGTGTTCAAACTTTTTTGTACTCTGAGAGCGGACTAAGAAGCAAAACTTGAGTCACCGTCGCATCTTACTCATCTGGCATGGATATATATGCATTTACTTTTAAAATTTATCATTACCGTTTGATCTATTCTCAATTTACAGGAACAACTGCGCGAACCAGAGGACTGCAAGAGCACGCTTGTGGGCCAGAGAGGGAGAACAAGCGAAATCATTTCCTTTGTATATATAAACAGTTTATGAATGGTGTTGCTTCACTTTGAAGTTGTATTTAATATTCGTATGATTGCTATATATATATATATATATATATATATATATATATACATATCAGAATTCGTTAACGTCCGTAGATGGGGCAGAGCTTCAAATTTAGGTATCTATCTCTATAATGGCGTCTCCAGCCTATTATCAGAATTAGCTATACGAAACGCACTGTATGAACAAAGAAATACGCGTCTATACATATATTCGATTTGCGACTTTATCATTTAATGTACATAATTATACATGTCTATACATATGAATGCTGCTGGTTTTTTTTTCCAGTAATTCGTCTATCTGTCTATAAGGCAGCTAGGGGGACGACTACGGTTGTGACGGTGGCGAAACGAAAGGGGGTTTGCCAAATCCCTCCAGTGGCCAACCACTGCTATTGCTATGTATATAGTGCGCGCGGAATATAGAAATCCGGCTTCATCAGTCGCCATCGCATCTGGTTGATGGCTGTCTCCGAGTGACAACTTCGCTGATAGTGATGACGACAGTAATAGCGACAACTAGCATCAAAGGTACGCTGCTGCGATTATATCTCGGCTGTACCGTTATGCCTTACATTGGGTTTACAAGACGATCTCGTGTTATTAATCCATCCTATATTATTGCTGCTGCGCAATTGTCGTGGCGGATGCTGTAGACATCGCAATTATTAACTGCCCCCTTGTTTGCCTTCAAGATAAACAGTGGAACAATTCTAATTACTGCAGCCTCTGACGTGCTGAGTAGCGATCACGCACCCCAGTCGCAGCCCGGTAAAAATCACAAACGTGGCCGACCTATTCCACTGGTTCGTCCTGTGCTCTAATGCGCCATACAGATATACCGTTAACGTGTTACTTATATGTATATATATATACACTGGTAGCGGTATGCCGCGTTTATTTACCCTGTCCTACGATACGTTGTACACTGTTTATCACTTAATAAGCGTATAAACAGGTATGGTCGAGTTGCCGAAATGCGATGAACCCCGTTTCGATGCAAAGAACATGATTCTACTTAATAAAAAGAAGTGTATATATACTCGGTTATTGCGATTGCTTTAACTACAGCTGATCATTACATACGTGATTTTCCTACTAATTACATCACTTAGTCCACTTTTTAGCGAATGTATTTAAAACATCAAACAGCTTCGTCCTTATCAAGTTGTGGTTGTTAACCTTCCGGTAACTTCCGGTTGATTACGCATCTTGAGCCGAAGCTGCCCAGCTAGGCGCCGGGCCAAAAATACTTCATCCGTGACACTTTTGTCTGTCACAAATATGTTCTCGCGGTTTCCATCTGCTCAGGTCTGTGCAACGACGAAAAGCGTTTGATCAACGTACGTCGGTGGTACCGCTACTGTGCTGCTGCTGCTGCTGCTGCTGCTGCTGCTGAAGTTACACGTTCCTACTTTTT